AAAAAAAAAAAAAAACGAGCACGAAAGTACCATTTTTTTACTTCGATCGACTGCACTATAGCTCACAAGTCGCAGCTTCGTTCTGCGTGAAGATTAGCTCAAATTCATCAGAAATCCCGACAATAGGCGATAACAAACCAACAGAGAGTGAATTAGACAATGCCCAGAGCAAACGAGGACATCAAAATGTGAACTTACGATTTTCAATAGGGAGACGAACCCTAATTTCGCCCCCTTTGCTCTTCTTATCCCGCCTGTTTGATTATCTCTGCTTGCTCACAAAACCTACATATAACACGAAAATGAGAAATGTGCCCATGTATGCATAATGGGCTCACAAATGTTTTTTTTACAGTAAAGTGGAGAAAGGCCCAAATGTTGATATGGGCTTAGAACAGACACAAGGAAAGCCCACATGGACAAATCGGTGATTCTAGGGTCTTTTGTTCTTCCTGACCCAAAATTCAAAGCGAAGTGAAAAGCGGCCGTGCATTTGAGCACCAGCGGCGGCGATAATGAAGGAAATGGGCAGACCGAAGGCGGTGGAGCCTGTCACCAGGGAGTACACAATCAATCTACACAAACGCCTCCATGGATGGTACTCTCTCTCTCTCTCTCTCTCTCTCTCTCTCTCTCTCTCAGATATGTGTATGTGTTGTTATGGACGCATTGGGACTTTAAATTCCTATTAACTGAAAAATTAATTTTTCAACTGTTGGGATTAAGCTTTTGTTCATCTACCTGGTGTCCAGTAAGCATTTTGTTGTAGTTGTAGATTTTCTTTGATTTGTTACCAATAGGTGGTTCTTTGAAGCTCGTTTGTGCAGAAACGATCAGTTTGAATTTTTCACTGATTTGTTACCAAAGATACCAGGTGTTCTGTTTCAATAACGAGTTCATCAGTGTATTTCTTTTTAATAATTAATCGGGAGGTTGTTGTATGGTGAATTGTTGATATTTGCCAGTGTTTGTGCATTAAAATCATCAATTGCTACAGTTCAGCATTATGTATCCATTACCTTATTCTTGCTGCTGCTAACATGAATACTCATATGCAGTACCTTCAAGAAGAAGGCACCTAAAGCCATTAAGGAGATTAGGAGATTTGCCCAGAAGGTCATGTGGACCTCAGATGTCCGGGTTGATGTGAAGCTGAACAAGCACATTTGGAGCCGTGGGATTCGGAGCGTGCCCAGGAGGATTCGTGTTCGCATTGAAAGAAAGAGGAATGATGACGAGGATGCCAAAGAGGAGATGTACTCTCTTGTGACAGTTGCCGAGATTCCTGAAGCAGGGTTGAAGGGTTTGGGCACCCGAGTCATTGATGATGATGACGATTGAGTGTTTTTATCACCTATTTTTTTAGGGGGGGTTATTTTTGTTATTCAGATTGTGATGTGGCCTTTCTAGGTTTTAGAGAACGTTTATATGGAGGATGCTATATGGTTTTTTTTTTTTTTTT